AGTGCATATAGAAGCACAGACTTAACATTTTACGTACGTCCCATCATCTAGATTTGGCAAGCCCGGCTAACATTTTCCTACCTTTTCTTCAAGCCCTTTTTTTGAAAGAAATAAAATGTTTTAGATACAACTGAATGTCTCACTCCCACCCCTCGTTTTTAAAACTTGTACATAATTATTCATGAACATAATTACTGACCATGACCTCTGGGAATTTATTCTGATTTCTTGTACTCAGACAACCAAATTAAATTGTTAGCTAGAGGACACTTAATTTTTTTCCTCATTTGCTTATAGATAGAAGGAAACAAAAATCTAGACCAAAAACCTATTCAGAGTTCACATCCTATAGCTTCTGACACATTTTCCACGTGGTCCCGTGCTTGCGCACCAAGAGCTACGCTTCCGTGCCGTTCACAGGCAAGCCTGTCACAGCACTCTGACCACCAGCATAGGCTTTCACACTTCAGGTGCTGTTCTTAAAAATGAAACAGGTACTAGAATCACTGATTCAGCAGTACTTTAGAACACTTGATTTCCCCCAACAATGAAGCAATTAAATTGGGTTGATTCCCAAACCCAAGAAAGAAGCCTCAGGTTCTACCCTGCTTAAATGAGTCAGTAGCAAAAGAGACTCATTGCACAAGTTCTCCCTAACAGTGCACTCTAGGGTGGCAGTCACATGCTCTTCTGTCAGTTGACAGATATCAAATATATAACACAGCCTGGTCAGAAAGACACAGATTCAAATCCTAGCCCACTCCCTCCTAGCAATGTGAACCTGGGCAAGTTATCTAAGCTTTCTAAGCCTCAGTTTCCTCATCTATAAAATAAGGATAGTAGTTGTAAGGATTAATCTAGAGTAAGGATCAGCAAACTTTCCACAAAGAGCCAGAAAGTAAATATTTTAGGCTTTGTGGCTTACAGTCTCTGCCACTACATAGCAAGAAAGCAGCCATAGACAACATGGAACAAATGGACACGATGGTGTGTTTCAATAAAATTTTATTTACAAAAACAGGTAGCCAGATTTGGCCATGGTTTGCCACCCCTGATCTAAAGAATGTATGTAAAGTTCCTACCACAGTGCATTCTCAATAAATGGTAGTTGCTTTTATTGCTGCTGTTGTTTTTATTAAAAGTTAAAGAGAACCTAACAGTTTATCAGGAGCTTTCACATCAATTAACTCACTAATCCACCAGCCTTGCAAGGTAGAAAGAATATTAATATCCTTGTTTTCTAGATTAAGAAAGCAGGGCTCAGAAAGATTAAGAATCTTACCCATGGTTACAGCTAATAAGTAGCTGAGCTTGATTTTGAGTATGTCTTCTGCCTCCAAACCTGTGGCTGTTTGTCTTACACCACTACCATCAAGTTGGATGTGCTACACCGATTAAATGAGTGGAGATTTTCTGTGAAGGTCAGCTTTGTGTAATTGTGATATGCAGGTTAAGCCAATTGGTCGTTCGTTCGTTCATTCATTCACTTATTTATTTAGAGACAGGGTCTCACTCTCTGTTGTCCAAGCTAGAGTGCAGTGGTGCAATCATAGCTCACTTCAGCCTTATACTGCTGGGCTCAAGCGATCCTCCCACGATGGCCTCCCCAGGTGCTGGGATTACAGGTATAAGCCACTGTGCCTGGCCTTGTATGATTTATTTATATTAAGAACATTCATGCCTTCTGGGCAGAGTAGATGCTGAAGTGTCAGAAAGACCCCTAAATTAAGTCAAGAGGTAATCACTGTACCTTCATTCCTGGGACCTAGGGGATAAGTAAGACTATGAAGACCAGATGAAGCCAAGCCATTTGTTTCTTTTTCTTGGGCTGCAGCTGAAGTATCATCCACTAGGCAGCTGGCCTCCTGTCGCAATAACCTGTCGCCGTCACTGCTGCGGTGAACATTCATCCTTGGACTCGGTATCCTGAACTGTCTGCTTGATCAGAATGAAATCCTAGAAGACAGGAATATACATGATTTAGAACTCATAAAACAGGTTTCCAAGGAATTCCATGGTATGAAAGCCAAAACAGAAAATTGGACAGCTCTCCTTCTCGTTCTCCAGAGAAATGGGCATCTGAAACATTCTTGTGATTTTATATTGAGAGGAATTGGGCTGATTTAAATGGTCTTTACCAAACCACGAAGAATGTTGATAAACTTGCTACCAGGGAATAATTTTAAGCTTTATCCATAAATAGACACCAAATTCACTGATTTTGGCCACATTCATGATCAATTCTACATATTAAATGGTGGTAAAATAATTCAGTGTTGTTTATACCATAGAGACATGGTGGGGGGCAATTGTTCAATTAAAGAAAACCTGCCCATGTTTTAAAAAACTGACACATACACACTTCCAACAATTAAGCACCAGGAAATTAAAAACAATCACAACCATAATGCCTGTAAGAGAGTCATCTGTGCTTAAAAAAAAAAAAACAAAAACAAACTTTGGTTTGCAGTGCTCAAGTTCTCCTTTTTATCTTCCCTTTTCTTTCTTTTACCCTGTGGACCTTATGCTCCACCCCCAAACCCCACCTCAAAATCATACTGCTATCAAGCTAACCATGTCTTCTCTCCTGCAAGACACACAATCCCCATGCCATGAACAACACATACCAAGTGACTGACACGTGCAAGACACTCACTGACCAGGCAGAAGGGAGGAGCACACACCTTTCTGCTGGGTAATGACACCCTGCAACTCTTCCATCCTCACCAGCTGCCCAACTACTCAAAACATTCCTGAAGTCCACCTTACTTAGCACTTTCACAGTTTATACTATACTAATTTTCACTTGGCATTCTGCTGGAAGAATCATCTTAAATCACCAGTAATTTGTATGCATATGGATTGCATGCTTAACAATATTTTAGGAAGCAGGAAGTTTACCAAGGGTAGTAACATGTTTTAATACTCCAAATTTCCAGACATACCAAGCATGTAGTAGGTGCCAACAAATATCTATAATAAACATAATAAATATGTGTAATGTGAATTAAATTTTGAATCCCTCCATAACCTTTATTAAAATATTTGGAGCACAAGGTTGATCGATCAGTTTACTCTTTATTTTCACTTGGATGAAATATAAAAATGACCACTTTGAAAAGAGGGATCAATGCATGTGCCTGAAAATAGATCATTTTTAAAAAGAGATACTTTCAAGCTGATGAAATCTTTATTCTCAGCTAATGGCTCTTACAACATAAAGCAAACTGAAGGAATAAAGTGAACGTACTGGCACAAAACCTGCTATGTGGCTACAGCTTTTTCAGGATTACTCTTTCTTAAAGAAAAAACATATTTACATTACAAAAAATGCAGACACATGAAATGGATCTCTAGTGACTGGTAGAACCACCAATACTTCAAGTTTGACTCAGAAGATGTCAAAATAAAGTCTACAGAACAAGATAAAGAAGGTCCACAGAACTGGAAAGAGCATTAATATGCCAAAGAGCATTAACAACCAAAAGGAGTCTGGTTCTTTAAGCTTAATTGGTTTTGAACCATAATGTTCCAATCTACCCACAGCTACTGCTTCTCTAGCTGCTCAAGAACTAAGGCTGGCTGTGGTGGCTCATGCCTGTAATCCTAGCACTCAGGGTCAGGAGTTTGAGACCAGCCTGAGCAAGAACAAGACCCCCGTCTCTACTAAAAATGGAAAGAAATTAGCCAGACAACTAAAAATATATAGAAAAAATTAGCCGGGCATGGTGGCGCATGCCTGTAGTCCCAGCTACTCGGGAGGCTGAGGCAGGAGGATCGCTTGAGCCTAGGAGTTTGAGGTTGCTGTGAGCTAGGCTGACACCACGGCACTCTAGCCCAGGCAACAGAGCAAGACTTTGTCTCAAAAATAAAACACCTATCAGTGAGTAGCAAGTGACAATATAATAATAATAGAAATAAAGTACACAATAAATGTAGTACACTTCAATCATCCTGAAACCATCCCTGCCCACTCCCTTCTGTGGAAAAACTATCTTCCACAAAACTGGTCCCTGGTGCCAAAAAGGTTGGGGACCATTGGACTAGACTGTATAAGTCACTTCATTTAATCCTTATAATGAAGGAAAAATAGTTTTGTTATACTGGAATACAGTGAAAACATTTCCTTCTTAGTCTGTAATAACAGGGCTCAAAACTCAGTTTAATTTGTATACGGTAAATTAATAAACAGACGTACCTGGAGCTTAGCAGGGTAGGTGTCTCCAGTAAGGGAAAAGAAAGTAACTTTCTAAGCCAGAGGTGACGGCTCACGCCTGTAATCCCAGCACTCTAGGAGGCTGAAGCAGGAGGAATCACTTGAGCTCAGGAGTTTGAGACCAGCCTGAGCAAGACCGTGACCCTGTCTCTACTAAAAATAGAAAAACTTAGCCAGGCTGGTGGCACGTGCCTGTAGTCCCAGCTACTCGGGAGGCTGAGGCAAGATTGCTTGAGCCCAGGAGTTTGAGGTTGCAGTGAGCTGTGATGACGCCATGGCACTCTAGCCTGGGCAACAGAGTGAGACTCTGTCTCAAAAAAAAAAAAAAATGACTTCTGAACACTTAATAGACATCTGTACTTATTTTTTATAAGTAATACATGAATATATTGCCTTTTAAGAAAATGCAAACCTTACAGATAAGGCAAAAAGGACCCTTTGATCATCCCCAATCCCAGTCACTTCTCCAAGTAACTATCACTATTTGCTTGGTATGAATCCTTTCAGACTTTATTAAAAGGCATTTATACTATACAGATATATTTAAAACACAAATATACACTATATGCATAATTCTCATTCTGTAATGTTTTCCTAAATTAATGTTGAGACCCATCCATGTTGGAAGATCTCGTTCATTCCTTTTAAACTGCTGCATAGCATTCTGATCCTATCTATGAATATTTGTTTATAACAGTGCTTCAGTGAACAAGATCGGAGTGTACTATGAAACTCCAAAAGGGAATCCAGTTTGCAGAGATTTCCTAAATGGATCTGGCCTCAGAACTCCTTTTTGCAAGAAGCCTTCTCAGGATTATTAATGTTTAATGGCACACACTTTAAGAAATCACCTAATCCAGCATTTCCCAAAGTCCCCTATAATCCCAGAATGACAAAACAAAAATGTCTCTCCTATGAGAAAGGTTAGGCCCTTTCCCCAATCATAACTCAAGCTAAGAGGCAGGGATAGATTCCAAACCTGGGTCCTTGGATTTCCGTGTTCTTTCCATCCCATCACGCTGCTTCCCCAAACCATCTTGTCTCCCATCCATTACTGATTCTAGAAGTTATTCTTTCCTGTATCGTTTGCCAGAAATGAAGAGAAAACCAGTATTTTCCAGGGTCACGGCTGCTGAAGTTCTTATCAAGTAGGAGTTAGGGAAGTAATGCAAAAATCCAGTGATTGAAACACTATTGGTGTTTTACTGCTCATGAAATTAATATTTGCTCATTAAAAAAATTCAGTCAATATAGAAAAATGTAAACACTTGAAAAATTAACGATGTTCTGGTGAAATCCCTGCACATGTATCTTTGGGCAACTACCCCATTATTTCCTTGGAATAAACTCCTAGAGGTAAAATTACTGTGGAAAAGGGTAATTTTAAAGGTTTGATATGTACTGCCAGATTGACCTCTATAAACATCAATTTACCCTTCCAACAGCATGGAGTGTCCATTCTCCAGAACCCTTATTAACATTCATTGTTTCAGTCTTCCTCATCTTTATCTGGTAAATAAGATAGCTCATTTTAATGTGATCATTTAAAAAGTCATTCATTCTCAACAATATTCCAAAATTTCACCTTTGAGAGCCTTAAAAATTTTGAGTGCTAGAGTTAAAACCCATGCTTGATGGATACTAGGTATGAGCAGTGATTTCTTCCTATCACGTTGGTCAGGCTTCACTAGAATCCCTGATGTTTCCTATGACTTACTCACATCTCCCTGGAAGTCTATGAGATAATAAGACATGATGACAAGATCATCCACCAGATGAAAGCAATGCAGGTTCTGGCAGAGGTAATAAAACTCGATTATAGGCCAGGCGCGGTGGCTCACGCCTGTAATCCCAGCACTCTGGGAGGCCGAGGCAGGCGGATTGTTTGAGTTCAGGAGTTCGAGACCAGCCTGAGCAAGAGC